AGCTCTCCTCAAGTCCAGCGTTGCAATCCTACTCATTGCCCTGCTCCCTCCTCGTAGGATCCTCAACTCCACCATCTCATGGTCCCTGCAGCCAAGGCTGCCCCCAACCTTCACCTCTCCAACTAGACCTTCTTTGTTCGTTAGTACAAGGTCTAGCATTGCACCTCTCCTCGTTGGCGTCTCCACCACCTGGGTCAAGAAATTATCATCAATGCTTTGCAGGAACCTCTTTGACTGTGCCTAGCTGTGACAATCTAGCCAACATCTCTGCTGTTGCCAGATCAAGGTTAACAAGTGGAAAGACACCCAGGGTCTCCATCCAGCTTGGCTCACTGGCCCTGGCCTGCTGACAGCAGGTATTTCTCGCAGCCTGCAGTTGTTGATTTTGCAGCAGGAGGGCAGCAGTTCATGCGCAAGCTCAAAATTATCAGCCTGTCACTGTTACAGGAAACCATGAGCTTTTATATTTTGCTTTAGAAGCATAAGTTCAGCAGACAAACACCACAGAGCATGGGGATGTGTGTGGCACTGAAAGCGCAGGACCTTCTGGTGAGATGAGAATAGCAGGCACTCTCAAGCACTGATTTAAAGTGAAACGAGAGCAATTGTGATGTCAAAGACAAATTGAGTCCCTTGCCATCAAAGCCTTATGGGAGTGAGGTTGCAATAGAGCATAAGGTTTTCCATTATGGTGCAAGTGAAAATTCCCACCCAGTAAGGAGTTACAGCTGAGGAAAGTCTCAGTGAGGTGCTGCATGGCACTCCCTGGGGACCATCTCTCCTGTAGGGCTGGGGAAACCTCATCAGGATCTACACTGAGGCTGTTGCGAGTGGGACTGTGCCATGCGTGGACAACTTGGTGGCTGAGCTAGAGAACACGGCAGCTGTGCAGGATTCCATGGCTCACGACAAGGCACAGATGGGCAAGAGGCTGGCACTGCCAACAAGGACCCTGGGAGCTGCAGTAGATCCACAATGAGGGTGAGCAGGAGGCCATCCAGTTCTTCGTGTGGTGCTCCTTCAAGGCATGGGGCAGTGGTTCCAGAAGGGGCTGCAGGTATAGTAGCGCTGGGCACCCCGCTCCACCACCACCATCCCCATCCCCCTGTGCCTGATGTCACACATTTACCCAGAGATACCCAGAGCTCCAAGACAAAAGGCAGCTACAGAAAGGTTTAACACAGTTATCAAGACACTTCCTTCCTTCTCCTTTCTGGAGAAGGAGGCCTTAGCCATGGCTGGGAATGTTCCACTGTCCTCTGTCTGGCACCTGGGCATCCCCAAAGGCACCTGGGCATCCCTGGGGCCATGGTGGGTGGCTGGGATGAGGCTCTGAGGGCTCTTTGACCCTCCCTCCCCCCCCAAGTATCTCCTCCTCACTGCAGACAGTGGCAGAGCTCAACAGGTTCTTCACCATGGCAGTCTTCACCTTCTTGGCGCAGCACACAGCCGTCAAAAACAGGCAGGTGGGATGGGGACAGCATGCGCGGCAGGGGGCTAGGGCTGTCATGAGTTCCAAGGCCCCTACAACCCCCCTGCACCCTAAGAATGTCCCTGTCCCATGATAGAGGGATGTTTCCCTCTGAGCCCTCCGCATGTGGGAGCAGCATCCTCATCCCATGCCGGAAGTATATTGCCATCCATCCGTTTGTGCTGGAGGGATATCCTCGTCCAACCCATCTCTGTGTTGGAAGCATCTCCCCATCCCATGCCAGACAAATGCCCCATCCATTCTCTTCTCATGCTGGAGGGCTGTCCCCATCTGTTCCCTCCGCCCTGACCATGGCCTCTCTCACCACGTTACAGCCTGGCAGCTTTCCTCCCCAATGCCCCATTCTCCATGCACCACACATCACTGGAGGAGAAGGGCAAGGCCTTCTTCCAGCCCTTCCTCAACACTGTCCATGAGGTGGGGATGCCAACATCCTGGTGACCTTCATTCTCCTCAGCTCCCTCAGCTCTTCCCAGTAATGCTGTGAGTCTAGGGATATTGCGGCCCCCCCCAAAACACTGCCCCCAAAATCGCAGCCCTGCAGGGCTGGCCAGGTGCACCAAGGGGTGGCCGAGTCCCAAGAATGCCCCATGAGGATGTGGGTGCACGTCACTGCCTGCAGCGTTCCCAGGCCCAGGATGGTGGCCACCAGCTCCCCACGGCTGCTGGGGCACCTGGAGGTCTGCAGGTGGCTTGACGCAGCCATGATGGGTGCCTGGGGACCCTGGCCCGGTGTGAGCCCTGTTCCTGTCCCTATCAATCAGCAGCTCCTGGGGCAGTATCTGGAGAAGCACTTCAAGGAGATGGAGCCGTGAAGGGGCTCATCAGCTCATCAGGGCCTTCCTGGGCCACCTGGAGGAGATCTGCATAACATGGAGAAGATGAACTATATGGTTGAGCTGAGATACAATTACATGAATTCATATGAGACTGAGAACAGCATCTCGAGCTGAACATCCAGGGTACCTCGTCTCCCCAAGCACCTGCTACCCAGCACCCAGCACCTCAAGCACCCAACACCTGGAGCCCCCAGCACCTAGACCCCCAGCACCCAGCATCCAGCACCTTAAGTGGCCAGCAACCACATCAATTGTGGACCCAGCCACCCCCAGCACCCAGCACCGCTGGCCTCCCACCCCCCCCATTCCCAGCCAACCCCACTAGGTCCACATTGCCCTGCACCCAACCCTACCAGACTCTAGCACCTCTCCCCCACAACTAAGCCCCGAACTCCTCCAGCATCCAGCCTTCACCCCAGCCCCCAGCCACAGGCCACTTATCTCCCCTCAGGCACCTGGGACACCCCCCAAGCACCCATTCCCTACCCCATCTTTCACTGCAGCCCCAGCTTATTGCTTGGACCCTCAGTAAATGGCAGCTGTCAATCATCCCCCTCTGTACTGCTGAGGGGAGGAGGAAGGGAAAAAAATCCTAACATGATCCCCAGCCCAGCCCCCTCGCATGCAGCAGTGGGGTTCCAGTGCCTTCAGTGCCCCACTTCTCAGTTCAGGCCCTGCTCGTTTCCCCATGGCCTGCCTGTCACTGTACCCTTAGCCCTGACCCCTGGACTGGCCCTAGTCCCTACCCACAGCCCCCTCCAGTCCCCCCCAAGCCTGCAAGGATGTCCTGAGGGATGGGAGGGGGCCAGTCCTTTCCAAGCCATTAAAGAGTTCCTCCATGTTTGATCGTGTCTCACTTAGTATTTATTGGCATCCAGAAATAGCCCATGGTGTCAGGCAAAGCTCAGAAAAACACCTCCCCTGTTTAGAAGGCATCACAAGACCATTCAAACTTTTCCTCATTCTCAAAAAATGTCTATAGTCTGCCAACACTCTTGTCATCTAAAAAAGAAGAAGGAACCTGTTTAGCTAAATCTAAAGGGTATAAGGAAAGGGCTCTCATCCTCCAGAAGCTGTATGTGTATTGGTTTACCAAAAAGGTGTGTCATCTGGAAGAGGAAGGACAAACATGACTCCAACAGGAGGGTCTCCCAGGAGCTTGCTATGTGCTGGCTGTCCAGTAAGGGATCAGTAGTGTTTGTGACGTGATGAAAGCATTTAGAGTTACTTTAAATGCTGTATGCAAAGGAAACAGCTCACTCAAACAAGCACAAGAGTACAGGGTCATCCTCATCCATTTCTCCAACAGTCTAACTTGCCAAGACGCTCTTTTGCCCTCACTTATTCACCCTTTCCTTCTTCCATGCTGATAGCAGTTATTTTGGGTGGTAGATGCCTCTCTTTCAAGAGAATGCACTTGGCAAGATTTCTTGTAAACAGGAGACAAGAAAACACTTCAAGACAGCATTGCAGACATGACATGCAAAAGAATGACATGCAGCTCTGCTCAAACCTGTGGTAAAATTTCAACAAAATTTCAAAAGCTTTCAACAAAAGTGATGTAAGTCCTGTGTGACTGATAAGAGAAATGGTAGGTTTGGGGAGATAGGGAGGAAGATTGTTCATGCAGTGTTTGACCTCCAGGATACTGCTTTTCCTACATATCCAGACTTCATCTGGATTGACATCAATTGGAGAATGTTGCTATCACTAATTTGGTAAGCTGAAGGATAATAATGAAAAAAAAACTTAAAAAGCAGAAATACTTTTATATTATTTGTTATTCTTTAATATTATAAGTATCCATCTTTCAGGTACACTCCTGAAATGCCTCCAATTAGGCAAAAAAGACTTGAAGAAAATTAAGGGGAGAGATGCAGTTTGTCAGGGCTTTTTGCATTATAATGAGCCCCATGGTGTATTTGGTGCTGAGTCCACAAAGCACAGCTGAGAGGAGACTGAACAAAATGTTCAAGAAGTCAAAGTCAGAAGAAAACCTCAAAGTTTCATAGAGTGTTAATAGGGCCCGCTGATGGCCATTAGCAAGAAAGACTCACTGGGGGCTCATTAGAGCAGAAAATTGTAATCACTGATTACAGGTAGGCAAAGAAAATGTGCTGATGGCTCTTATGCCAAGCAAACCCTTCATGTGTTTTACAAGCAAAATAGTCAAACATGGACACCCAGCCCCTGGGAAGGGAGATCCTTTCCCCAACCTGTTTCACAGGGCTCTTTCTGAGGGCAGTGTGAGGATGGAGGTGTGTGATGCCAAGTGTAGGACAATGATATGACATCTCATGGGCTCCTGGGGTAGGGACCAAAGCAACAATGAGGGCCTGGTTTCTCCTGGTAGGCCTCAGTGGCAGAGACAAAAGTCATAGGACAAAGATCCCTGCTCCGTCAGGGACTTTCAGCCCTGCTGGTGCACATCGTCATCTTCACCACAGGCTGTCCTGCACTGTATCCTCCTGTTTCCCTGCAGACTGTAGACACTTAACCTGCTTCCCCACTTTGCTCTCACTCTAGCATCTCCCTGCCTTTCCTGATGTCTCTCCATCCTTACTGGCTGTTCCTTGAAACACAAAGTCATGCGTCAACCACAGACTCCTGCTGGGTGACCTGTTGCACTACAGCACTATACTTCTAGTGATATCTCTTCATCCTATCGTCCAGTCTGAACCTGCCAAATTGCAGTTTGCAGCTGTTTCCCCTTCTCATGCTGTTTCCCACTACCAGGAAAAGCTCCTGGGAGCCCCACAATGAGCCACACTAGTGCTGAGTCAAGGGGAATAATAACTGCCCTTGTCTAGGTGGCCACACTCTGCCTCATGCGGCCCTATAGGCGTCTAGCCTCCTTTGTGGTAGCATATACTACTAACTCATATGACATGCCTCACAATACCCAGGCTCTTCTCCTCCCAGTCTCAGCCAGTTAGGTTGCAGCTTGCCCTGAGCCATGGAGTTTTTCTGCCTCTGATGCAGGACTTGACACTTTCGCTCGTAAAAGTTCATGAGGTTTCTCCTGACTGAATCTCCAAGTTTCTCAATGTCCCTCTGGACTAAAGCTGCCTTGTGTCGGCTCTTAATATGTGTGTGCAGATGACTCACCCTGACTTACGCTGCCCCTAACAAAATCATAACATAAGGAATGCCAGGGCATTCCAAGTAATAGAAGGAGGTACTAGTTTAATGGAATTGCTGGCCAAGGAATAATCACTGAAACGTCAACTGAGGATACAAAGCAAACAAAATCAGGGTTTATGGAGAACGGGTAAACAGAGATGGGCTGTTTGTATGGGAAGGTATGAGGATGGTAAGAGGGAAGAACTTGGAAGGTGGAAAAGAGAGAAAAAGAAAATAAAAGATGACAGAAAGGCGTGATTAGGGCAGTTTGGGGGTACCTGCTAAGCAGTCTTGACTGAAGCAGGACAACAAAGCTAGTGGATCTGATCATACCTGTGTCTGACTTGACTTACTTCTATGGTCAAGCAGAACTAAGTGCTTTCCCTAATATCAATAAGAGAAGATGCACAGGGGAAGGAATCACAGAATCTTTCAGACTAGACATCAGGAGGCCTCTAGCCAACCTCCTGCTCACTGCAGGGTCAGTTTTGGGGTCAGACCAGCCTATACAGACTTGAAAACCTTCAAGGATGGAGACAGCACAGCTTATCTGGGTAACATGTTCCAATGCGTGACCATCCTCTCAGCAGAAAAAATTTTCCATCTTTCCAGTCTGTTCCCCTCTTGTTTCAAACTGGCTATTGGTTATCATCCTGCTGCCATGCACAATGCTAAACTTCTTGATTCCCCCCCTCATACAGGGGAATCCTTGTACTTGGGGGGGGTGGGGGCCAGAACTCGATGCGATTTTCTGCATGTTGTCTAAGCGCCAAGTAGTGGAGGATAATCACCACCCTTGACCTCCTGGCTGTGCTCCTGTTCATGCAGCCCAGGATGCTGCTGGCCTTCTTTGCTACCCTGGGCACATGACTGTCTCATGTTTTGCCTTCTGTTCACAAGGACCCTGAGGTACTTTTCAGCACAGCTGCTCCATAGCAACCCAGTCCCCAGCCTGCATCTTTGTAGGGTGTTGGTCTGTTCTAGGCACAAGAATCTGTCATTTGTCCTTGCAGATTTTCATGAGATTCCTGGCAGCTCATTCCTCCTGCCTGTCTAGTCTAGGTCCCTCTCAATGGCAGCCCTCAAACATAAGATTGGTGTCCTTCCCCAGCTTGTGGTCATCTACAAACATGATGAAAGTTGCCTCCTCCAGCTCACTCATAAAAATGTTAAACAGAACAGGTGCCAGAAGAGACCCCCCCTCCACCCCCCCGTGGTGCTCCATTTCTCCTCTGGCCTCCAGGAAGAGTGCTATGCATTCACCACTACCCTCTGAGCCCAAACATCCAACCAGTTCTTTGGCCATTTGGTTGTCTGCCCTTTCAGACCATAAAACCCTAACTTGCATGCCAGCGTACCATGGGAGAAAGTGTCAAAAGCCTTGCTAGCATTGAGGTAATTGACATTCACTGTTCTCCATTCATCTACAAATATAGCTCTTCTAACGCAGAAGGCCATCAGGTTGGTGAGACACGATTTAGCCTCGAAAATCCATGCTGCTTGTTCCCAGTCACCTTCTTCTCCTTTGCATGCCCAGAAGTGTGATGAGAGAGGACTTACTCCATAACACATACCTGATCAAAGCGAGGCTGAGCAGCCTGCAGTTTTCTCAGTTGTCTGTTTGTGCTTTTGTGAAGATGGATGCAACACTTGCCTTTCTCCAGTCTTTGGGATTTCCCCCAGGCTCCACAACTTTCAAAGACAATAAAGAGTGACCTTGCTAGATAGGAGCCAGTTCTCTCAGCATCCTCAGCTGCCACACGTCTATTCCCATAAACCTGCATTCTTGCTATACTCCTTGACTCAACCCTCATGCACTGCTGGTTGTTTTTCTCCCTGGGAGCCCTGACTCTAGGCGCAACAGCCTGGGAAGTGCTGTTGGTGGAGACTGAAGCCAAGAGATCGAGTTCCCCAGACCTATCTGCATCTGCTATTACCAGATTCCCTACCCCATTCAGCCATGGGCCCACATGTTCCTTGTTTATTCTTTTACAGCTATGAAGCAATAGCAGATCATCTTCATGCCCTTTACATCCCTTGCAAGTGTCCATCTTGGAGGAGCTTTGGGTTTTCTAAACACTTCCCTACTCCTCTGGACAATATTCCTCAATTTCTCCTTGGCAGTCTCTCCCTGATTCCCATTCCTGTATGCTGTCTTTTTGTACTGTTCAGTAGTTCACTCCCTGTTTAGGCAAGCCTGTCTCCTGAAATGTCTACTTGTTTTCCTGAGTTTCAGTATGGGCCATTCTTGAGCTTGGAGGATGCTGTCCTTGAAGATCTGCTAACTTTCCTGAGCTCCTTTCCCCTTCAGAGCTGCCTCCCATAGGGTCCTTCTTCCAGTCTCCCTAGAAGGCCAAAGTCTGCTCTTCTGACATCCAGAGTCTGGACTCTGCTACTCTTCTTCCTCACTTCCCTCAGGATCAGGAACTCCCCACCTTACAGTCACTACAGGCAAGGCTGACACTGATTATCACATCCCTGATCAGTTTTCCCTTGTTTGCAAGTTCCATGTGGAAGCAGCACTCTTGTTGATCTACTTGGCTTAGGTGGACTAAGAAGTCCTCCACACACCCCAGAATCCTCCTGGAATCTTTGTACCCTGCTGAATTGCCTTCCCAGGGAATATCAGGGAGATGTCAGTCCCCTCATGAGAACTAGGTCTATGATCCACAGACTTCCTCAAGTTGCTTAAAGATATTGCAGTTCGCATCTCCAGTTCTTCTTATTTGTGCCCCAGGCTTTGTGCATTTGTGTATATTTAGGCTGCAGAATGTCAGCTGTGGCACTAGGGCTGAGCACAGATTTGTCATGGTGGAGCCTGTTCCCAAGAGCCAAGGACACCATGTATGCAAAGGCCCACCTTCAGAGCAGAGACATGCTGGCACAGATAGCAGATGGTGATGTAGTGATGATATGAGGTGCCCACTAAGAGAACAAGCCCTGCAGTACCCAAGGTCAGAAAGAAACAGAGCTGAGCTGTGCAGCTATGGCAGGAGAGGAGTTTTGTGCGCAAGGTCATTTTGCAGCACTTTAGGGGCTGTGACAGAAGAGACCAGATCTCCAGAAAGGGCAAGGTGTCTCTCGGAATGTCCCTGGGGCTGAACAGCCTGTGATCCAGCCACTCTGTGGCTGCATCATTAACATAGTCCCTGTTCATATCAATGAGCACGAGAAAAGGTTTGGGGATAGGAGAACTTGCAAGGTTTGAGAGTGTTGACATATGCATGGAGACGTTGGTGTGATGTGCTTCCCATCTTTGCAGCATGCTGTGTTATATGCAGAATGAACTTTGCTTAAAGGTAGTAGTGTGAATCCATTGTCTGGGAACAGGTAGAAATCTGAGATATCCTGGAGTGTTTGCCCAGCAACCACTCTGAAAGGGCATGATTTTCTGGCAGGTCCTGAGCTGCATATGCTAGGAACACAGTGGTTGTGCTGGACACCCCATGCATCTGACATGGTCCTACAGGCCTATTTTCACTGCATTAAATCAAGTGTCTGCATTGAATTGCATTATCTGTTTGCAACATCAGGATCTGCATGTCTCAGCTTCTTACTGACCTGAGCTCTTGCAGTAATAGGCAGCTAGTGCCATTTCAGATGGCCAAGGAGATTTTCCACCGGGTCTCCAGCTGATGTTCTAAAAGGATGTGGTGTCATAGTTGCTCCACCAGAGCATGCAGACACTGACATATATCTTGGACCACATCAGTCTCTCCAAATTTCAGAAGGTGTTTGTGTATGAAGAATTGACTCTCACCCTCCCTCTTCATTGATTACAACGAGAGCTCAGCCAAGGAGTGCCCATGCAGATACCCATTTTGTGCACACCAAAACTTGGGCAAGGGGAATGCTAACTCCTCTGAGCTGGTAGAGCATGTAGGAGGAACAGAATCTCACTCCATCCCAGGGGCTTGTAAACCAGCATTAAATGCCTAGATTGACTCCTCTAAATTAGTCCCTGAAACATGAGTAAATGTACTCCTTTCTTGTCCTTGTTCAGGTGTCTTATCTTCTTATGAGATGTGAGTAAGGCCTTCCAGAGTGAGACACTTCCACCTCTCTTAGATAGCCATCCTCTGATGAGACAAACTGCAATGCTGGAATCGGTCACTATCCATTGTTTGCATAGGCACTAGCTGTGATTATTTTAGTTTACCTCAGTGGCTATTTCTCAGGAGTTACCCTGCTGCCTTTCGGGAGATGTCATGCCCTCTCCCCAGGAGTACCTCAAGGGTGCACAGGGGACAGAGAAAGTCACATCTTCAGCTGGGCCTCTGCTCCTGAGCTGGGCCTGGCTCCTGGGACTGTGGAAGCCCATGGCAACCTGGTAGGCTCCTTTGTCCAGGAGCAGCTCCTCTTAAAGGAGCAGCAAGACTCAGAGCACTGCCTGCAGGTACCAGGATGAGATGAGAGACTCAGAAGTTAAAGGCAGTTGGGAATGGGAGGTCGTCTGAGAGGTCACTGTCGGGAGAAATCTTCACAGCCTTTAACACAGTAAGTCTCTGACTGCACGGCATTGCTGCTGCGATTCCTGAATGGTTCTCCTAAAGCTGACACCTACCACAGCTGATAAGGTCTGTCAGGGTTGCTCTCCTAGCTTCCCAGACCCATCTTCAGAAGGACAGAGCACCATGGCTACCTTCTCCCAGGGACAGTGCAGGGGTGTGAAGCCAGGGAGTGCACCGAGGTCTGCACAGGCTATAATTCACAGCAGTGTCCCTGTGCCCCAGGGTGCTGTGTGCTGGGGTCAGGGGACAGTGACTCTGCCACCTGAAAGAATCACAGAATCACAGAATCGTTTAGGTTGGAAGGGACCTCTAGAGATCATCTCGTCCAACCTCCCTGTTCAAGCAGGGTCCTCTAGAGCAGATTGCCCAGGATCACATCCAGACGGCTTTTGAATATCTCCAGCGAAGGAGACTCCACTACCTCTCTGGGCAACCTGTTCCAATGCTCAGTCACCCTCACAGTGAAGAAGTTTTTTCTCAGGTTCAGTCAGCATTCAGCCTGCCTGGGGAACTCCCCATAGCACTGCAGGAAGAAGCTCTGGGTAGGAGTGATCCCTGGCAGGGTAGGTTCATTCTCCTGTTGGTAGGGTGCTTCATGGGTCAGAGCTGCTCAAAGCTCTAGCTTATCCCCAAGGATATTTCTCAGGGGCCTTTTCTAGAAGACAGTCAAGGCAGGGGTTACCTTAAAGATAAGGAGCTCTTCTCAATCTATGTGTTCTTTTTCTTACTGTTGCAGAGTACTGACACGGAAAAGACATGACAGAGAAACAGCTTCCAAGAGGAAAAGCTCTGGGCGATGGACATGCACTCACAGAATGAGGGGAAACTGAAGATAGAAATTCTGTGGGAGGGGGGAATTTGGAAAACTTTCAGTCAGTCCCTGCAGCACAGACATCTTCCTCTAAACAAGCCCTGTCATGTTTCATCTTCTACCCAACAGAGCCTTTCTCCTCAAGGCCATGGGGTCCAGGATATGAGCGCCCTCCTCAGCAGCCCGAGCTCTAGCAGTGAAGAGCAGTGAAGGCTTCTCTCCTGCAGTTTGCCCATTTCCCACTGTATGACAAAGGAGCTGAAAGCAACTGTCCTGCAGTGTTGTCATTTAGGAGGTCTAGGAGGTGTGCACAGCTGGGTAAGATGAAAGCTTTCCTGAGTGCCTGTTCATCCCTCTCTTCTTGCTTTCCCTTTGGCATGAGGTTGATAGTATTGACACTTGCTTCTTCACCTCTCTGTCCTGTCTAGTTCTTGCTCTTGCGCTCTCTGGGGTTAAGAAGGTGAGGTTCAGCTGCAGTGAAGGCATTGATGCTGTGGGTCCTGTGTGGAGCTGTCTTCATGGCAGTAAAGTGCCCAAGTTCCCTTCCAACCTTCTAGGCAATGAATTTTATCAGGTTTGGGAATCATCTGACTCTCCCTTAAGGAGACCCTATATTTACCACTCTTGACTGTCTTTCTAGGGTGTCCTGCCAGGCTTCAAGCTGCCTTACAGAAGATCACAGCTCTCCCATAGCATATCTATGATAGCTGAGAGTCCTTGTGCAGGTTACATGAGTCAGAAGCCTCATCTCACACTCTTCATCACCCTCTCCATAACTGGGCTGAGAGAGAAGAATTTGGAAATCTTCACTTCAAAACTGAATTGCACTCTCACCTCAGTCCAGTTTCTTTCTTAAAGCAACTTGTGAGTGTGAGTGTCCTTTAGCTGGGAGAGGTGGAAGCACAGAGCAGTGGGGAGCAAGACTCATGAGCAGACTGATCCCCTCACCCTGTACAAAGTCACTTAGAGCTCTTTTTATTCTTGGGATATGCGTGTTCTCATGCTGAGAGCAACTGAAATGCCAAAGATTTCTACCCCATAAAAGAATGCTCCTATGGTGTGATGGAGGCATATAAAAACTAAAGAAATATATAATCAGATCCCTCCACTGCAATCGATTTTCTGGAGAAAATTAATGTGAAAATGTTGAACAGCCTTTTCACAAAATGGTTGTGTATAATCTGCTGCAGGATATGTTTATCAGAGCTAGTCACTTCCCACTCTCACTACAGTGTCTGGAGAAAGAGTGCAGATGGTAAACTGATGTCAGGGCAGGGTCGATATCATTGGGACAGAGATCTCTGGAAAGCTCCTGCCTGCACGTCACTGTTTCTCTCCCTTGCTAGGCAAGGAGTTGGTGTGACTGATTCAGATTCAGACACCTTTGTTCAAGAGGGCAAGGCTGGAGAAGATGAATCCCTCATAAGGGTCTTCTTTTTCAGAGACAGCTAGCATGAGTGCTTTATCCATCTCTCACAGTGATAAACAGAGAATATTCCCAGTGGGTAACTGGACCAAATCCCCTTCACTCAGCTCAGAGTGCCCATCCCCAGATATCCCTACCAAATACATGGGGCAGTTTGATACCTCCATTTACACACCCTAGCAGAGCAGGACTGACTCCTCTGGAGCCCATGGGCAGAGGCCCCTGCTCTGCATGGTGCACTCAGCCAGCACAAACCAGAGTTCAGAAAAGGGAGTTGAAAGAAGGTAAAGCAGAGAGGAAATGCGGGGGTACTAGGAGGAGTGGAATGGGTTTTGCTCAGAGAAGCCTGTCCTAACTTGTCAATGCCTTTTCCTCCTTGGGCAGTCCCTTGTGCCCAGAGATAGCAAATGTCCAACTGCAGCTTCCTCACCGAGTTCCTCCTCCTGGCATTTGCAGACACATGGCAGCTGCAGCTCTTGCACTTCTTGCTCTTCCTGGGCATCTACCTGGCTGCCCTCCTCAGCAACATCCTCATCACCACAGCTACAGCCTGCAACCACCACCTCCACACCCCCATGTACTTCTTCCTCCTCAGTCTCTCCATCCTGGACCTTAGCTCCTTTTCCACCACTGTCCCCAAATCCATGGCCAATTCTCTCTGGAACAACAGGGCCATTTCGTACTTAGGATGTGCTGCCTAAGTCTTTTTTTCTTGCCTTTTTCACTTCAGCTGAGTGTTCTCTTCTCATAGTCATGGCCTACGATTGCTATATTGCCATCTGCAAACCTCTTCACTAGGGCACACTCATGGGCAGCAGAGCTTGTGTTAAAATGGCAGTAGCTGCCTGGGGAAGTAGTTTTCTGAGTTCAGTGCTGAACACAGCTAATACATTTTCAGTTACGTTCTGTCAAAGCAATGCCCTGGGCCAGTTCTGTGAAATTCCCCAGATCTTCAAGCTCTCCTGCTCAGATGCCTACCTCAGAGAAGTTGGGGTTCTTGTGGTTACTCTTTCTTTAGTTTTTGGGTGTTTTGTTTTCATTGTGCTGTCCTATGTGCAGATCTTTGCATCTGTGCTGAGGATCCCCTCTGAGCAGGGCCGGCACAAAGCCTTTTCCATGTGCCTCCCTCACCTGGCTGTAGTCTTTCTGCTTGTCTGCACTGGCATGTTTACCCAGCTCAAGCCCTCCTCCATCTCCTCCCCTGCTCTAGATCTGGTGCTGTCTGTTCTGCACACGGTGGTGCCTCCAGCAGTGAACCCTCTCATCTACAGCATGAGGAACAGAGAGCTCAGGGGCACACTGAAAAAACTAATTTGATTGGTACCAGTTCAGAAGCAATAAGCTGCCCATACCTCTTCACAAGTGATTTCTAATTTATCCAGATAATTCTTGTGCTTTGGGCATTCTATCTGTGATAGTGCTGTTTATAGTGACACCTTGCTCAGTAAAACACCGCTCAAGTCAGGATGCCTCCAGCAGGTGCATACAACCAGGGGAGACAGCATGGGACATGGCTATGGAGGATCCTCTTGCACCTCTCCTGGGAAGCCTGCGTGCTTGACTGGCTCTCTGAAACACCTGTATACCAATGCATGCAACATGGGGAATAAACAGGAAGAGTTAGAGATCTGTGTGCGGTCGCAGGGCCATGATCTCATTGCAGTGACAGAGACATGGTGGGATAGTTCACATGACTGGAATGCTGTCATGGATGGCTACGTGCTTGTTAGGAAAGGCAGGCCAGGAAAAGAGCAACTAGAATGTGTGGAGCACTGCCTCGGGGTGGATGAAGAGCAAGTGGAGAGCCTATGGGTAAGGATTAAAGGGCAGGGTAACATGGGCGACACTGTTGTGGGGGTTTACTACAGGCCACCTGACCAGGAGGAAGTCATCGATGAGGCCTTCTACAGACAGCTGGAAGTAGCCTCACGTTCACAGGCCCTGGTTCTCATGGGGGACTTCAACCACCCTGACCTCTGCTGGGAAGACAGCACAGCTAGGCACAAACAGTCAAAGAGGTTCCTGCAGAGGACTGATGATAATTTCTTGACTCAGGTGGTGGAGACGCCAACAAGGAGAGGTGCAATGCTAGACCTTGTACTAACAAACAAAGAAGG